GGGTACAGAGGGCCTGGCACCACCAGTGACTCAGCAAGGCTGGGCTTTCTGGAGAAAAGTGCCAGAAAGTCAGGCATTCCATTTCCTTGTAGGATCAGCTTCAGATGTGGGGCTATCTGAGAGAGGGTGCCCTAGAGCCCCCTAGCCAGGGCCGGGGAATGGGGGTTCTCTGCTGAGGCAGGGGTCAGATTTGAGTCCAACCTGTAACCTGTGTGACATTGGTCAAGTCACTTCGTCTATCTGAACCTCGGCTTTAGCCTACGTAAAATAAGGCTTGTTACGAATGAAATAAGATTGCAGGGAATGTGCCATGTTCCTTTTCATCTACCTGCTTTCTTCTTTCTTTCTGTCAGCTCCCCATGGGCCATCTTGGCTCAAAGTCACAGGCGCTGAACCTAAGCTTTTAGAAGCCCCTCTCAGCAGTCCCTCTGTTGGCGCCTGATGTTCCACCACTGGAGTGCTATCCTCTGTGTTAGCCTTGCCTTTCACACTGATTCTTGAGTTTAAAATTTTTTAAGTTCTATTTATCCTTTCTCATAGCAAAAATATGGGTGGAGGAGAGATGGAGCAAGGACACTGAAAGGTGAAACAGGGCTCCCGCAAGTCCTACCATTTCCCCTCTCCTGATGGATCAATGTGCTGAAGAACTGCCCGAGGAAGGGCCCTTGGCTATAATGACACTTGCTCAGGGCTCCACCAGTGGCTAAACATAAGCCAAGTCAGCATCATTTGCATAAACACTCCCATGACTTTTAGTGGCTTCTTCCTGGTACAAATGACAGGGGCCTAGGAAGACGTGCCAACATCACTCTTTCTATCCCCCAATGTGGACTGAACAAGTACCCTTGCTCAACCACTTACTAGCTATGTGGCCTTGACAAGTTTCTTAGCTTCTCTGTGCCTCAGTGTTCTCACCTATAAAATGGGCACAACCACAGTGAGGCCTCATAGGGTTGTGGTAAAGAATACATGCATTAATACGTGTAATGTGCTTAGATCGTTGTCTGGCAGGTAATAAGCACTTATTTGTTGTTGTCATCATCAACGTCATCATCATCATCATCATCATCATTTTTGCTTTCTGCCAGGTCCTGTGCAGGGTTCGGGTAGCACATAGATGAAACAGCCTCAGTCCCTAACCCTGGCTGGGTTCATAATCTAGGGAAGGAGACGTGCCCTGGGTGTGTCAGGCACTCTGCTGAGCCCTGGGCACAGATCCGAAGGTGAATAGGAAGAGTGGCCCCTGGAGTTATGCAACAAGGTACCCTACCTTGAAGAAGGAGAGTCTGGTACAAGGCCCAAGACAGCAATGTGCCAGGGACAAGGTGGGAGTGTTTTCTGGGCCTGCCTCCCCTCAATCTCACTCTTCTTTAAAGCTGCTTCTTGTCAGCTATTTCCCTTGTAGGCCATGGCCCCTTGCCTGTGTGTCATTGCAGAGTGTTCCCTCTGGCCCTTCCAGACTCACTCCCAGCATCCCCTCCTTCAGGAACTTTCCCTGACTGACCCTGGGCTCCCCCAGCCCCCAGGCTCCCACAGCCTCCTGGTCTACCTTGAAATTCCTTGAGGACAAGGCTGCAAGTTGTTCACTACGGCATCCCCAAGCGCACCTTAAAGTAGGTGCTCAATAAACGTAGAGATGTAAGAGAAGGAATGTGCATCAGTCAGAATGGTGTTCAGCTACAAATGCCAAAAATTTTCACTATAGAGACTTAGAGATTTATTTTTCTCAAATAACAAGAAAGCAAACAGTTGCTGGCAAGGGCTCAGCAGCTCAGTGTCATCTCTGCATTTGCTTTGGCTTTTCCTCAAGGTCACAAGATGGCCACTCTAGCTCCTGCCATCACATTCATGTTAGAGGAAGGAAGGAGAGGCAAAGCACAGCACCAGCTCTGTTGGCCTCTTGTCAGGAGAAGCAAACCCTTCCTGAACCCCGACCGACTTCTGCTCACTTTTTATTAGCCAAAACTGGGTCACATGGCCACACCCAGCTACAACAAAGCCTGGGAAAACGAGTATCTAACTGGAGCTGGAAAAACATAATTGCAGTTTTGTTAGCAAGGAAGAAGTCCAGGATGGTTGGGGGAGGAGAGTTAAGGGAGTGGGGGTCTGAAAGCAGGGTACTGGTTAGGCAACTGGCATAGGGCTTCTTGAAGGAGGTATTATTTAAACTGTGCCTAGAAGGTCAGATACAATTTTGGCAATAGGAAAAAATGGTCTAGGTGGAAGTCTGGAGGCCTGATAAGGCTGTGTGTGACCAGGGACTGCCAAGTGGCTGAGGCAACTAGAGCAGGAAAAAAAATAGGACCAGCTTGGTGAACTTTTGGTGTGTTTGGCATCAGCCAGAAGCTCTCTTTCCCCCAGATGACTCCAAATCTCTTCCTCCACTCCATCTGAAATTCCACCATTAGAGATGACCTCAGCCAATGAACACATACTGGACACCTGCTATGTACAAAGAGTCATTTTCAAAATATAGATATGCCCTAGAGGCTTATGGTTGTCAGTCATTCATACCTGAATATTAGTTTTGTTAGCTAGTGACTTCCTAAAGCTTAGCTGAATTCTACCCTGAGAAATGGGAATTTTTATTCTAGAAAGGAGGTAATAAAACTTAGGGGCCTTGAAGATAGTGGATGGGCAGGGCTGGAGGACTGGACGCCAAATGTCTGAGGGTAATAGGAGGTCTGTAGAAGAGGGAACTCACGTTTTCTGAGCCTCTAAGTACAGGCGTTGGCCATCTTTCCTCCTTAAAGCTCTGCCATCGCCAGTTCACAACTGAGGTAACTAGAGCTTAGAGAAGGGGACAGCCTTGCCCAAGGTCATCCCTTGCACAGGTGACAGAAGTGGGGTTGGACCCTGACCAGTCTGACCCCAAAAGCACATGTTCTTGCCACTACACAAACACTGTCTCCCCCTCCCCCACGTCGTAATAATGATCATTTCAGCTGGCATTTATTTATTTATTCAATACTTGCTCTGTACCAAGCATTGTTCTAAGTGCTTCAGGCATTTTAACTCATGCCATTCCCACAACAATACTATGAGGTAAGCACTTTTATTGTCCCGTCTTACAGATGAGGAGCCTGAGGCATGGCGAGAGGTTCCCTAACACGCCCAGCTCCCACAGCTGGACGTGTCAAATAGGATTCAAACCCAGCTGATCTGGCTCTGGGACACAGGGAAAGATATTACCTTGCCAAGGTTTTGTGGTGGATGAACAGTAGATTCTCTACTAAAACAAAAACAACTGGAACTCACAGACACAGAGAACAGACAGGTGGTGGCCAGAGGTGGACAAAATGTATGAAGGCATCAAAAGGTAGTAACTTCCAGTTACAAAACAAATAAGTCCTGGGGTTGTAATGTCCAGCATGGTGACTATCGTTAATAATTCTGTATTGTGTATTTGAAAGTTGCTAAGAGAGTAGCTCTTAAAAGTTCTCATCACAAGAAAAAAAAGATGTTTTGTAACTATGTATAGTGATGGATGTTAACTAGACTTATTGTGGTGATCTTTTTGCAATGTATATAAATATCAAATCACTATGCTGCATACCTGAAACTAATATAATGTTATATGCCAATTATACCTCAATTAAAAAAATTTTTTAAACACACACACACACACACACACACACACACACACACAAATTTATTATCTTACAGTTCTGCGGAATCAAAGTCCAAAATCAGAACTGAGCTCCCTCCAATGGATCCAGAAGAGAATCTGTTTCCTTCTCTATCTTCTAGAGCTGTCATTCCTTGCATTCTTTGACTCCTGGACTTTTCCTCCATCTCCAAAGCCAGCAGGGTAGCATCTTAGTTCAATCATATTGCCTATTTCTTCTGTCTTTCAAAAAGAAATTTTTTTCAATAAACTAAAAATGTTTTAAGAGTGTATTGTCTAGATCAGCGGTTCTCAAGTGGAAGTGATGACATTCAGCATTTCATTCCAGGGGAGCTAGACTCCATGGTGGCTTTTGAGCAGTTTTGTGCCACAGGTCAACATTTTGGGGTACAATAGAATATGGGTTCTGGAGTCCCAACTTGTACAAGTTACTTCATCTCTTTGAGCCTCAGTTTCCTCCTCTGTAAAATGGAGATAATAAAACTTTGCAGGGTTATTGTCTCAAATGAGATAATCTTCTAGGAAGTTTTGTTGTCTACAAACTACAATTCAAATGTGAGGAGTAATTAATCCCATCTCCTACCTGGCTTGTTTGTGATCAGGCTCAGGTGGAATTACACACAAATAACCCTTTGTAAAACCATTAAGTGACTATACTGATATCAGGTGGCATGTTACATTTTTAAGTAATAAAAAATTATTGATTATTTTATTAGAACAAAAGCAATACTGTTAAAAATTTAGAAAATGCAAAATAAAACTAATAAACTAAAAATACCCATAATATCACCACCCAGAGAGAACCACTATTTATATTTTGATATAGCTCCAACAACTATTAACTGATGTCATGTTTGTTTATTTGGACCCCCACCTATGCCCTCCAACTCCCCAACAAGATTATTTTGAAGCAAGTCCCAGACATCATATAATTTTATCATCAATATTTTAGTTTTTATCTCTAAATTTAAGGATACTTTAAGTAAACATAACCTCAATGTAAGTATCACACCTTAAAAAAAAAAGCAAATACTCTGCTGGAAGATGTTCATAATGTGGGAGGCTGTGCATGTTTGGGTATGGGAGGTATATGGGAAATCTCTGTACCTTCCACTCAGTTTTGCTGTGTACCTAAAACTGCTCTAAAAATTAAAATCTGTTTTTAGAAAATAAATACTCGTAAGTTCCTAATATTGTCAAAGGATGATCATTATTCAAATTTATCTAGTTGTGTATTTCTTTTTATGTAAATTTTTCTTTTCATACCTTTTAAAATTGGGTTTTCCCTTTTTTATTTATGTGCCAAGCTCTTTATATATTAAGGCTATTAACTAAGGGTGATACCAATTACTGACTATTGTTATTCCTCCAGGGAAGGCCATGGAGGCTTCAGAAAGCTCCTCCCAGACTCAAGACCACAGTCGAGTCCACAGAGAAACAGAAGATCTAGACCGTATGTTTGCCTTCTCTGACCCTCTGGGCAAAGCCACATGGGAAGTGGAGTCCAGCAGTGGGTAGAACAGAATATCCTGCTTAGCTTGTATGGTACAGTGGCTCAAGTCACAGCTGGAATCTCTAGAGAAGTAGTGATTTTACATGCTCGCACACATACATATGTGCTTGGTCCAGTCTGTCCCCCCAACACTTTCTAGCTTTGGGGGCCCTCAGTTACTCCCCAAATCTCCAGAAGACTCTGGGAGCTTTGGCTGGCACTAAGGAGGGTCCCCAGAAGGGAAGGGTTCTTTATGGGCTTAGAATGGGAGATAGGAAGTGTTAGGGCTTGATCAGATCCCACCTGCCCAGCAATTTACAGAGAATCCAAGGTTGGCAACTACATACCGTCTAGTGGTCTCTGAGCAGGACAAGGTCTTTAGAAGGTCCTTTCTGGGCTCCAGATTCAGAGAAATTTCTGTCTTGGGACTTCCTAGAGCTCCTGGGGCCTCAGAGAGCCCTGAACTTCTGTACCTTCCATTGGCCCTAGGGGTTTGGAAAGAGTATCCCGGAAGTACCAGCCCCTACTGGCTCCCCAAACCCAGGTAGAACCCCTGGGGAGGCCTTGGTGTCTCAGGAGTGGGAAGGGAGGGAAATGCTCACTTTTGCCTATGTGTGCCTCCCAGGTGGAGAGACGGATTTCCACAAGCAAGACAGGGAGGCCGGACTCTTTTCTCAAGAACAACATGAGAGAAACAAGTCTTCTTCCTCCTCCTCTTCCTCCTCCTCCTCTTCCTCCTCCTCCTCTTCCTCCTCCTCTACCTCAGGTACAGCAAAGATTAAAAAAAAAATATATATATATATATATATATATTCTTATACTATTATTTAAGACAAGCGTGTATGTGGCAAAGCCATCCTCCATAATCCCCCACCTTGATACTTCAATTCTGTTTTTCCTCAGTCCCTTCTAGAGCCTGCCTACCTGTACCCATGACTTGTACACAGCTGTAACTGATCGTATAGACAGTTTTGTCCTCAGTTTAACTTTCTTTTTGCTGTCTTCTTCCATACGTTTTGCCATGTTATTCTGTAATATCTTTGCAGCTGTTTTCATGGCCCTCAAATAACCTAACCCCTCAAGTGGCTGCATCTCATGTAAAATAAGAGTGAGGTTTCCTAAGACACTCTGGTGCCAGAGTCAGTGCCTCTGTCCGTTCAAGCAGCCTGCCTGGGTTCAAATCCTTTCTTTGCCACCAACTAGCTGTGTGTCCTTGGGTAAATTGTTTAACCCTGAATGCCTCGGGGTCCTCTTTTAAGATGGGGATGATTGCATAAGTTATTACCTCATAAGATCCTTGGGAGGATAACATACTTTACACGGTGTAAAGTCTTAGCACCTAGCACATAGTAAAAAAGCTCAAAAAAGAACTGCTATTGTCAAGATCCACACTCTTCACCCCACCACCACCAGTTTATCACACTCAGGAGAATCCTTGCTCAAAAGCTTTTGCTTTTTGAATTGTCCATACAAATCGTATCCTAAGTATCCTTTTCCCAAAAGTACTTTAGTGGGTTTAGAGGGATGAGTGTCTCTAACTGGGTCCTGATTACAGATTGCCACATTATTCTCACTTTTATTCATTTGATTCAAAATATAAGGCTGAATTTATAGCAGCCGCAGTAACATCATAGCTAACATTTATTGAGCGCTTACTGTGTGCCAGCTACTGTCCCAAGCACTGTAATAACCCAGTTAATTCTCATAGCAACCCATCGAAGAAAGTACTATCATTATTCCCATTTTACAGGTGAGGAAACTGAGGCACAGAGAGGCTAACTGACTGGCTGTAAGTGGGCTCAATAATCAACTGGGGATTCCCTGGAGGTCTTTCTGGGACTGGGGAACCTAAGAGTTGGCTCTGGTTTACTCTGTCTCAACAAGACCCCCTGAACTATGAACATTTTACATAGTGGGCCTGGGCCTGAGATTTCATTTGATGAAAGCGATTCCAGGCTAAATTTTTTTTTTTTAATGCTTGTAAAGCCCTGGTGCTCTGGCCTCATGTCCTCATGTTGCAAAATGATGAGACTGAGGCTCAAAGTCACAAAATTCATGCTAGGGAGAGTAGTTAGTGGGTTCAATGGCTATGTATGTATCTAGTCTCCTCACGGGACTAGAAAGGAAGCCGCCATCCTTACTAAAAAGTATAAAAACCCACCCCCTGTGAGGTTTAGCCCTGGAAGAAGGGCTTCCAGAGGCAAGGGGACTCTGTCCCTTTGTTTCTTCTCCCTGGTGGGACGGGACATTGTCTTCTGATTCTGGTTGACCCTTAGGGGGCACTGCTCCCCAACGAGTGTTCTCCCCCAAGTGTGGCCATAAGCCACTTCACTCCTGTCTCCGCAGCACACATGGGACTGGCTGTAGTTAGTGGGCCTAAGCTGTAAGAGAACACAACAGGAAAATAAACGCAAAAGCAGGACAGACTAATATTCAGGATCCTGGTGTCAGATCCACAATGGCTGGCCTGCTGCTGGAACTCAGGCCGTGCCCGTTCTTCAGGCTCAGATGGTGACCACAAGACCCCAAACCTGGGTGCCTCACTGCAGCCCCTAACCTTCCTCCACATGCAGGACCCTAACTTACAGTCTGGACCCTAACTTACAGTCTGTCATCAGCACTGCTTTCCCTTTTTATTCTTAATATATCCTGTTATTTTTTTAATTAAAACTTTTTTATTGTGAAAGATTACACACAGGCACATTGTAGAAAATGTGGAACATATAAAGAAGGAGAAAAATACAAATCACCCTTTGCCCTGTCAGCCAGAGATAACCGTTAAAAACATATTCGTGTATTTCCTTACATTTATTCAATAAGTGTTTGCTGAGTGCCAGGCTCTGTGATGGATACTGGGGATACTAGCAACAAATTGTGACTCCTTCTGCCAGGGTTAATTTTTTAAATAATTGAATTGGAGAGCACTTACAAAAATTGTCCTCATTTTGCACAGCATATAATTCTATATAATACCTCTTATAAAAATTTATATATTATGAAAAAAATTATTTATTAAAATATATCATAGAGAAAGCTAAAATAACGTTCATTCATATATTGATACAGGTTGTCTCTGGTTAATAGAATTTGGAGTAAACTTTGCTTTTGTTATTTCCTGTATTGTTTGATATTTTGTGAAATTCAGTGAAAAAAGCTTTTTTTTTTTAGCATGGACTAATATTTGTAAAACACAGAAAATAAGAAAATAGAAGCCATCCCAAATCTATCTCCTGAGATAAATTACGCTGTTATTATCTCGATGTACTTCCTCACACTTCTTTCTCTGTATCTAGCTGAGATCACGTATACACTGATTTTTAAGCACAGTTAACCCAGTTTCTTGGAATTTTAAAATTTATCCATGGGGCAGGAGGTCCCCAAACATGGGGAGGGACATCAGCCTTGCTGGCGCCATCTTGGTCAACTTGAGGAAATGAAGTCCTCCAGACCCAAAGCCAGAAACTTCTAGGCCCGAATTCCTGGAATGCCAACTGAGCCAAGAGTGCAAACAATTCAATCATTCTCTAAGTCTTTTGTGGTTTTTTTTTTTTAAGATTTTATTGAAGAAATGGGGGGAGGGAAACAGTGTTGGGGAATTGGGGAAGGGGACCAGCCAGGTTGTTGGTCTTCAATCTTCATTGTGGAGGGCGCCAGTCGCCATCTGGCTGCCCTGTTGGCAGCTTGTGGCCTCTAACCTCAAGGTGCTGTGTTCAGTTTTAGTTGTGGGTGGGCGTAGCCACCATCCCATGCGGGAGTCGAACCAGCAGCCTTGTTGTTAAGAGCACACGCTCTATCCGCTGAGCCATCCGGGTGGCAGCTCAGCTCAAGGTGCTGAGTTCAGTCTTAGTTGTCGGTGGGCATAGCCATTGAATAGGCAATCTTGTTGTTACACCAGCTGAGCCATCCTGCCACCTGTTGGCAGCTCAGTGACAGCTCAGCTCGGGAACAGCATCACTAGCCCATGTGGGAATCGAACCGGCAGCCCTGTTGCTCAGAGCTTATGCTCTTAAGCCAGCTCTTAACCAAATGAGCCACTTGGCCAGCCCATTCTCTAAGTCTTGATCAGGATCCTGCTCCAGGCTGGATCCTGGAGCCAGGCCTTGGGGGAGTGAGGGGCCAGGCCTTGTCCTCTGGAAGCTCGGGATGGAGAGACAAGCACCATAACCACTGACCTTCATACCCACTGTGTCGAGCAGACAGTTGATGCTCTAGAAGCCCCAGGATATAGGAAGGCAAGATGACTGAGGTGAGGCAGTTGGAAAAGCCATTCTTCAGGAGATCTGACATCAGCTTAACCTTCAGGATAAGGGATACAAATGGGAAGAGCATTCCAGGTGGGAGACAGCATGAGCAAACACAGAGTCAGCATGGCTTTGTGGAAATGCAGAGATGACAACCCAGTGTGTGGTGGGAGGGAAACCACCTCAGTAATATACCTCCTACGAACTTGCCTTATCATGAAGAAAGCCTTAGGAAAGCAGCAACAGGAATGCTAAGTGATTTTTCTAAGGTCACACAGAAAGTTTGTGGCAGATCTCCTATTCCCCAATCCCCAAAGTAGACCTCTTCTCCGCCCCTCTCCCTAAACTAAATTCTGAGAATGAACACCAGAATGAACATATTCCAGGCTTGTTCCAGGCTGAGGTTCTCCTACAGCTTGTGTTTGTTCCCTGCAGAGAGCAATGATGAAGACCAGCACTCCAGAGAAGCCAGAAAACGTCGTCGGAAGAGCCAGGGGGCTGGACACGCCCACAGGGGTAGCTCACCTGGTAGGCAATAGGTCTTACTATTTCTCCTTTGCCCACTAGGCTCACTGTTGAGTTTCTCAATGGGACTGAGCATGTCTGTATGAAGAAGTTCCTTGCAGTGTTGTTTATAGTAGGGCAACAATGGGACACAACCCTAATGTCTGACAACAGTAAAATAGATCAATGATACTACACCCTGTGTCCTGGTTAGAACTCTGTTCTTAGAATCTCTCTGAAGTAAAAAAAGAAAGATGTCAAATCATTTAACTTGTCTGATCTCATATACATTATGTGAAAATTCACACGTGTGGCTACAAATAAGACTGGAAGGAAAAACACCCAAATGTTATTACTGGTTATCTCTGAATAGTTAAATTATGGGTGATTTTCTCTTTTTTGAACTATCCTGTAGTATAGTTCAACATATTTATCCTGCAGTATAAATATGTGACAATGAGCATGTTTTATTTTTACAACCAGAAGAACATTTTTGCAAAAACAAAACAAAACGATAAATTTCAGCCCAAATGGATTATGGGAAAAACAGCATGGGGGAAAGGGCCTGGATTAATACCTAGTACAGATAGTGACACACATGAGGTATTTAATAAATGCTACCCTTAAGAGTTGAGCTCTGGGTTCTATTTCTGGAGATAAAAATGATTAGTATTGCAGGCTTTGGCGACAGATCTGGGTTTGAACCTTGCAGTTGTCACCTACTTGTTGTGTGACCTTCAGGGAATAATTGAACTCTGTGAGCTTCAGTTTCCTTATTTGTAAAATGGGGCAGGGAGAGGTACTAATATCTTCTTCATAGGATTTCCATGAAGATAAAATGAAATATTATACATAAATTATTTCATACAGTGTTGGCATGTATTAAGTACTCAATAAATGGCAACTGTTGTTATTGATTTTGAATAAAGTTCTCAGGCCCCTGATTCTTTCTTAGTAAACGGAACATGGTCTTTTCTGGGCGTGCTGGGGGGTAGAGTCCGACAGAGTAAAGGGAAGCACTTGTAAGGCTGTCTTGCCTCTTCAAGACCGCCCAGCTCACCCCAAGCACAAGAACTGTGTGACTTTAAGGTGGCAGACGGTGGGACATGGAAGCTGCTGTGAGGTGCTGTGCCTGTGGAGAGGTGACTAATGGGTTTTGTTTCCACCCAGGTGCTGAGCATGGGGAGCCTGACATTTTGAAGGACGAGCTTCAACTCTATGGAGGTAATTGTTTGTCCAGTGGCTTTGGAAAAAACAGAATTAGACAACGGTCATGAGGACCTAACGGTTTGTTGGGCAGAAATGAGATCATAAGTGTATTTCATGAGCTGAAAAGTCATGGGAAAATATAGGAGATGTGGCAAGGTGAGTGCTTACAACACTGGCAGATAAGGATGAGGGCAAGCGTTTTGCACCATGGTGAGATTGTCCTGGGTTCTCCTCTGAACCATAACCTTGATTTGCAGGGTGACCTTAGCCAGTCACCCTACTTTTCTGGGCCTCAGCTTCCTAACCAGCAAAATGGGACTTGATTAATACCTACTCTCTTGAAATGCTGTGCTGTTAAGCCTGAGAGAGAAAATTAAGGATCTGATCTCTATAAAACTCATATTATGGAATAATTGTCTCTAAGCATCGTGATTTTCATACCATGGAGATCTAAACATTATAGTCCTTTGCTTCGTAGCACTCTGATGAAATGGGGGAATTTTCAGGAATAAACCAGTTTGCCAAAAAGCCTGACCAATGCACATGGCCAGATAAGAAAACCTGTTTAACTTTGCTTAATCCAATATTTCCATAATCTAGTTAGTCTCCTAACTGTGATAATAAACCAAGAAAAGCAAAAGGAAACACTTACAAGTATGTATACTTCCAAAGAAATGTAAGTGAAATATTTTGATGTTCTGCATCAAGATATTACCCGTGGCTTCCTCTGGGTGGTAGCATCATGGGTAATCTTTATTTTGTTTTATTTGCTTATCTGAATTTTCTTATTGTCTTCTTCCTTTGTTTCTTTTTATTTTTACAAAAATAAATATTACTTTATCTAGAAAAATGCTTTTAATTACTTAAGTATGAAAGAAAGCTTTTAGTGGATGTAAAATGAGACAGAGGAACTGTAATGTTTACATATATTTAAACATATTTTTCTCATTATAAAAGTAAGTTATATTTACTGTAGGAAATGTAGATATTGTCACACATTTGTGAATTACTTTCTCCCCTACCCCACCCCCAAGGCATTGGAGGTACTTAGTAAATGACACAGCTGGGGGCTCATTTCATGCTGTTCTTAGTATAAGCTCTGTACCTCGGTACTGGTCACTCTTTGGTCACTTGCAGATGTTGTTCCTATTTGCATATTAGCCCTAAAGGCAGTTGAATGTGCTGAATGTTTATTGTCATGTGGTGAGTGACCTCTTCTGGTGTTCATGTCCTGGGGCTGACCTAAAGGACAGGAAGTGTACAGGAGTGGGGGCTCCTGGTGGTGAGGGGTGGTTACAAAGTGTCCTGCTTGCCCTCGAAGGGGAAGGCATTGATAGGCTAGGAAAGAGGTCACCAGGACCAAGAACCAGAAGGTAAATGGGATAGGGGGCCGCCCCAGACCAGATCACTGGGAATACTGCCACTCAGAGCAGGTTTATAGGGCTCAACTCACCCAGACCAGGGCCTTGATACTCAGGGTGGGGCCCGGGTGAGCTCCCATGTACAACAAAGCTTGGCTCCCAGGACCTCAGGGCCTGGTGGGGCTGGAGCTAGGTGTCATCACCTGGATCTGAACAGGCATGAACAGGTCCAGGTTGCAAACTGGTGGCCCGTGTATGTGCAGATGTGTTTTATCTGGCTCACAATGTGTTTTTAAAAACTATTATTTCTACAACTCACACTTTTTCACATGTGGACATATCTGAAATCAGGATGCATCTTACAACCACTGGCAACTTGCAATGGTAATTGGCAATGGTTTTCTTTACCTAGTAACATAAAAGAATGTCATGTCTCACAAACTCTTTGATTCACTGGAATACAAGAGTTGCAAACCTTTTTTCAAATCAAGAAGTTTATGTAAAGACCTGGATTTCTGGCTTCTCATGGGAAATTGGAAGACCTGTGACACTGGGCAGGCATTCCTACAGCAGCTTTAGTGGCTGGTGGGTGGTGACTGCCCCTTTAGATGATAGGAACCCTCCAGCTTGCTCTAGTGACCACTGAGCCTAACTTAGATCAAATGGAAACTCTCTGAGTGAGACCTACCTTCCTCGCAGTGTAATTTCTCCCTACCCCAGAGAATAATGGATCTGTGATCACTGATTTTCCTTCTGTGCAGGTACCTCTGGGGAATTGATGCCCTCTGGAGAATCAGGTGAGTGCCCAGTTAGGGGGGAGGGGTTATCGGTGCTGGTGTTCAATGAAGTCGGGGCATTATCTTTCCTCCAAGACAGCCAGCTGCTATCAGGGTTCGTGGCTGTGAGACAGGGACTCCAAGTCCATTTGGGGGCCTGGGGCTCTTGACTTGGTCTCAGCCAGCAGGCAGAACTGGCAGCGGCATAAGGCAGAGAGCCAGCAGAGATTAGAAAGGGAGTTCAGGCGAGAGGCAAAGGGATCACAACCAGCCATGGATACATAGAAAGAGCCCTTGGGGCCTGGAGAATCTGATGGAGGGCATTCTCATAGGCCACCTATGTCCTCCTCCAGAGTGGAAGCAGCTGGTAAGGACCAAAGCTGGCCTGGGCACTAATGTTTAGTTTCTAATTTCAAGGACTCCGAAGGAGAGACTCAGACCTAGCAAGTGGTAAGTATGCAATCTCTAACGGGAGAGTGGGAGGCAGCCTGGCTTCCAGGAGTGTGAGATGGGACCACAGCCAGCCTGAGAGGGTGGGTCCGAACAGCAGGGATGCCATCCCCAGCCAGTGTCACCACGATTCCAGAAAGGAACCTCCAAGCTCAGGGGAAGTGGAACAGAACGCAGACTCAGGTGTGTGGATGGAGGAGGGAGTCAGTGAGGGTCCCAAGGACAGCCACTGCTGTCCTTCACAGCTTTGCCCTGAGCAGTCCTGCTGGGAGAGCCCTCTGACCCAGGAAAAAGAACTCAGGAGAGCCATTCTCAGTGAGGCAGGGAAAACAAAAATCCCACATCAAAGTAAAACACTCATCTCTCTCTTGTTCCTAAGGAGAAGTGGAGTCCTCTCAGTTAAGAAGACTGAATATAAAGAAAGACGGTAAGGAAGCTGGTGTCCCAAAGCTGCTTCCCCCTGTCAGGTCCAGATTTCTATAAGTAGAGAGTCAGCGGATGGCCTAGAACAACAGTAATCATAGCCCACCTCTGTCATGTGCCCTGCAGCTTACAAACTTCTCAGCTTAGAACTGCCTCAGGAAGGCAGTACTATGACTCCCCTTCTGCAGATATGGAAGCTGAGATCAAGGATGGGGAGTGGTCTTACAGATAGCGAGTGGCATGACCTAGGCTTGAATCCTGGTCTTGTGCTCTTTCTGCTGTACATGGAGTCACTAGGATGATAAATGCCCTCTGGGCCTGATGGCCAGGATGGGGAGCTGGAAATGGCCAGGCTGAGGAAGCAGTGAGGTTAGCTTCAGCTAGACTTTAGAGGAGGAATGATGAGACCCGGATGGACCCCCTCCACTCCAGCCTGGAATCCATGGGGTCTTTGTGGAGGTGGGAAGGGAGACTATTAATTTTGATTAAACGAAATGGCAGTTATTCTAGAAACATTTTGAGTTGTTGCAAAAGCCCACCTTCAGAGAGCAGAGACCTGAGTTTGAACCCCTGCCTCTGCCTCTGTCCAGCTAGATGAACAGGACATGCTATTCAACTTTCCTGGGCTAGAAAGTGAGCCTTATCAAACTAAAATTGAGACTCTCAAAGTGCAGACTATGTCCAAGTTGCTTTAGGACATAGCATTATACCCCAAAGCAAGAAGGTGAGTCCCCTTTCCACTCTCTTTCTTAAAGCGTGGTCTCAGCTCAGAGACCCCATGCTTTTAATGCCACCCTGACCCGTATTCATTGCTCTTCCGACAGAGCAAGGCTGTCCCTGTGAGCAGGCAGTGGGGCTGGTGAGATCACTTCACCATCTTGCTTTGTATGCCTTGTGTTTATTTATTTTTTTTCTACATTCTTAGTAAAATCTTGCAATTGGGGCATTTTGAACTGTCTGTTCAAAGGACTATTATTTTACAAAATAAAGTACTACCATTTACCTTATGCTTATTTTTGATGAAATAATGACTGTAGTTCTTATGAACGAAAAATACTGCAGTTTTGCTCTTTTCTTCAGCGGAGCAGAACTTTACGTACATTTGGTAACATTTATGTTTAATTTTAAGATGCCCCTGACTCTCTGAATGAAATTTAGGTGTTCAATTTTTTTTTTAGGTTGAGATATAATTGACATACAACATTATATTAGTTTCAAGTGTATAACATAATGATTTGATATTTGTCTACATTGTGAAATGATCACCATAATAAGTCTAGTTAACATCCATCACCATCCAGTTACAGAATTTTTTTTCTTGTGATGAGAACTTTTCAGTAAGACAGGGGATCCTGGTTTTCCATTTACTTTTGTGACATGGTTTCCTTTTAATGTAAATCTGTTTAAGGAAAAAAGGAATCTGTTTAAAGAAAAATGTTAAGTAAATATTAGTACAGATGGTCCTTGGATTAGCATGAAATTGTGAAGACAGTAAGCAGTGGTACATTGAAAGAGCAAAAAACAACAAAGGTGGTGTATGGAAATCTGAGAAAAACCAGACAAGAATGATTCTTTAGGTCCCTCTGGGCTTGAACACAACCTTGGAGTCCTTATCCTGGCCTGATCTTTTTAGCCTTCAAAACTTCTAGTTCTCAACGGCCCCTCTACTCACCTGGTTGAACCTTCACTTTACTGGGTCTGTTCCTTGGTCCTATTCCTTCCGTTGTCTCATGTTGTGCCTCCCAAGTAGCATACACACAGACACACACACACACACACACACACACGCACACACAACATACATTCACTTCTCTCTCATTCAAGTTCTATTGCCTTGACTGTCTTTAAGGCCCAGCTCAAACTTTTATTCTTCCACGAAGCCCTCCTGGATTGCCCCAGTCACGGTGACTCCTGAGTGTTTATATCTTAACAACTGCATAAAGTTCCACAGCATGGGTACATTATGATGTGCTCACTATTCATCACTGGATAGACATTTATGTTGTTTCTGGTAGTTTTTCCTCTTTTCAAACTAAGCCATCTTACCCTTCCAATCCTTGGTTTGATCTTGCATTTTGTTAATGCCCCCATACCTTTCAAACACTTGTATTTTCTAAATACTTATTTGTAAGAAAGTTGAAGATAAGATTCACGGAGAACTTCACTGTTAGAAACTCATTTTATATTTCTGAAAGATTAGGTGAGGAAGATGGAAGGAAAGAGTTCTTTAGTCCACTTCACTCCCAGGTTTTCACATCTCTGGAGACCCCTAAGCCTGATGCTTTCTTAAACATTACGTCCATTTCTGCATAATGTAAATTTTTTTCCTAAAGGATAAACTGACTTCAGGGCCAAGAATATTTTAGAAATACTCATTTTAGTTTTTTCCCCCAACAGGGGGGGAAAAAACAAAACTACTCTCCTCACCTTTCATTCATTTGCCTTCAAAAGTCCCTCAACAGCAGGGATATGCAGTATCACACTGCCTTTTACCATTTACAAAGTACTTTTCCATCCAAGACCCCTATCCATCCTCTCAGCGGCATAAACGTTGCCCTCCTCCATTTATCGGTGAGAACTCTGAGACTCAGAGGGGTCAGGACACTTGTCCAAAGCTTCACAGCACATCAGTGGCTGAACTGGACTAAGCTAAGACATTCCCGGCAGCCTTGACACCCACTCAGGGAGCATGCCTCATTCCAGGGAACCATCCCTGAGTTGTCTTCTCTTTGTTCTTTTTCTTTCTTCTTGAAGTCTTTCTTTGCATCTTTTCTAATCACAGCCCCTTGCCTGGGTTGAGGCCCCTGTGTTCTCTCCCCTGATGACTCCCACAGTGCCTGACAAAGTGCAAGGAGGGGTGGGGGGGCTCTTTCACAGGCCACCTCTGGATTTCTGCCCAAGACACGGGCCCTGCCTCTCAGCTCCTCTGTCTCCGTTAACTACATTCTGTTAGTACTATTCCAAGCCTGCAATTCCATTTCTGGACATTGGGCCCACAAATGCACAGAGGTTCATGTGTGGTGATGTTTGGTGCAGCATTGGTGATAATGGTAAATATCTGACTCCAGCAGGTTCATTGGTGGGGGGACTTAGTTAAATAAACTAGGGTAACTTTATACCATGGAACACTACACAGCCATCCAAAAGAACAGGGCAGCTCTGTATATGCTCTGAGATGAAGAGATGGCCCCAATCTATCTATCAACAAGAGGAAAAAAAGTCAAATTATAGAGCAGCAGGTGTACAAATGGATCCTGCTTTTCTTTGTAAAAATGTGTACGTCTACACGTGTCTGGAACGGTCTTGCCAATCACCGCTTGATTTTAAGGAGTGGGATTAGGAAGAGAGAATGGGGCAATGTGAAACTTTTGAACTTGACACGTCTGCATTTTTTTGCCATCGTGTCTAACATTCATTCCACATAAAAACTATCCGGCACTTTTGCGTAGCTGGCACTGCTTTAGTTGCCAAGCAAAATTCCCACCCATCACCCTACTGAGGGGGACAGAGAATAAACACAGGAATGAAAAGGTAACCAGTTGCGTGGTGATAAGTGTTGGGAAAATAATAAAGTGAGCTAAAGGCTGGGTAAGGGATGGGCCTTGGGCTGCTGTTGTAGTTGGACTGGTCAGGAGCATCATCTCTGGCATTTTAGCAGAGACGGGAATACTTTTAGTCATTAAAAAAAGAGGGAGGAAGAAGCAAACAGCAAATTCCCCACCTCGTCTGTCTTTGCAGATGAGTTTTTCCACTTCGTCCTCCTGTGCTTTGCCATCGGGGCCTTGCTGGTGTGCTATCACTATTATGCAGGTGAGTGGGGGGCTGTGGGAGCAGGGGGTGGGGGAGGGGTCCAGGCCTGCAGGCTAACCAGCCTCTCTCCCTGGCTGCCCTTGCAGACTGGTTCATGTCCCTTGGGGTCGGCCTGCTCACCTTTGCCTCCCTGGAGACCGTCGGCATCTACTTCGGTTTGGGTAAGCCCCTCGCCCCAACTCTTGGAGGGCGGTGGCTGGATCAACTAGGGAGGCTTGCTTGCCAAGGGCCAGAAAGCCATGACCTAAACACTTTTTAAAGATTTCTTTATGCCCATGTTTTCTTCCTGACCTCTCTGAAGGTCAGTGTGAGGTTGTTGGCAAAACCCTGTGGAAAAAAATGGGCAGCTCTATAAAAACGCAACAAAAACAGCTGAAAGTGGCAAACAAACAGAATTAGGCAGCTACCGAAAACAAGTTAGTTAATGGGGCTGGGTGCTGCCTTGGCCTTTTCCTGGCACTGTTATTGCTATTTGTGGCTGTTGTTTTTAATAATAACTCGAGTTCTATTATTTAAGCTTAACCTGCTGCTTGAAATTCTGCCATTAGAGCCTTGTTTGTGTGAGTTAGGCCTTGGTCCAAGGGTAGGCAGGAGGATGTCTGACCCCCGGGTCCCCTGAGGAGGCACAAAGCTCAGTCACCTTTCTCTTTGTCTCTGAGCAGTGTACCGGATCCACAGCGTCCTGCACGGCTTCATCCCCCTCTTCCAGAAGTTCAGGCTGATGGGTAACTTTTACGTTCTTCCTATGTTCATTTTTTCTCTGCCTATAAAGGTCTTCTGTTGTCAACAGGCTTAGCATATAGGAAAGAGCACAGGGCCTGGAGTTGGGGCCTTGGTTCAAGTCCTGCCTCTTCCAATTTACCAGCCCTGGAGCCTCTTTTAGCCTCAGTTTCCTCAACTGAAAAATGAGTGTAAGAACACCTATTGCACAAGAGTGTTGTGAAAATCATGTGAGGAGCGGGGGCAGAAGTCCTTAAGTGTGAAACACTGTAGAAAAGTGAAGGGAATCTGGGTATTCTGTCATAGAACTTTACATTTCCCCAAATGCCGTCTTCTCCATGATTTTATTTGCCTAATAGTAACTGGGGGTGGGGGTGGGATTTACTTTTCTTGCACTTATCTGATGAAACTGAGACTCAGAGAAGTGGAGTGACTTGCCCAGGGTCACACAGCTAGAGTGGCTGGGCTGAACTAAAGGAGATCCTCTTTCATGACCCGCAGCTTTGTGCCTCTTATTACGTCTCAAAACTGAGAGGCCAGAGAGCTGTGTGTCTCTGTGCTGGGGATTTCTGTCTCCTTTAACTCATTGAATTCATAAAGGGGAAATTAGTTGCAATGGCTGTGGGTCATGGAGACCCGTGGCTCCTGGGGTAGCTACATTATCCCAGCGATGAGGGGTATTTAGGCATCTGGGGTGATGGTGGGGATGAGGCCTGGCTGCCTTCAGAATCTCATGCCATCCTATGGTCTTTTCCTTCCAGGGTTCAGGAAGACTGACTGAGGCCAGTGCCAGGCGGGCAGCCAAGCCAGGCCCCAGTGTGACCAACACGACATCCTCTGAGCACAGAGCAACATTCTGGGAGACACACAGGCAGGCCAGGCTCGGGCCATAAAGAGAGCAATTTTCCTTCTATGTGATCTGAACGTTGGCACCAGCCCGGGCTGAGGTATCATTCAGGCAGCATTGGCATGCAATCCAGCTGCCAGGGTGGAAGGCAGAGGGAGGAAGCAGGGACTGCGCCCTTCGTGGTACCTGGATTGGCAGGAAGATTCTGGGTCATCACTGCTCTCAGGAGACAGTAGGAGAACCCTGGGCCCTGCAGGCTGTCATATATCTGGGTTCCTGGTTTCTCTCAAATCCCCACGCTGTCCTGGTATGCTCTCAGGTCCTACAGAGCCATCCCAGGACACACAGACAGTTCATTACCCTGAGGCAGGGAGCCACCATATCAAGCTCCCCGGGGTGAACCTGATGTGGGTGAGATGTTGGGGACGAAAGCCACAGCATTTAGGCTCCATCACCTAGTGCCAGCCCTGCAACTCTGTACTCTATCAAGATCCAAATAAACATTTTCTTCCCTGGACTAAAAAGAGTCAGTGAAATATTCCTTTAGGCTTCTTGAGTTCAAGGATACCTTTGGGGACCTTCTTTGGTCCCATCTAGTCAGGGTGGGAAACTTGTCCTACATAATAAAGTATAAAAGGAAATAAATGTAAAGTAAAGCCCCTCATTTTAGGTCCAAGACTTCAATTGCACAGGGTTGGAATGGGAGACAGTGTTTTGCAAACATTTTTGTGAAAAAGATCTGGGGCTGTTAGGTACTCTCAGCTCAACCAATACTGTAGGAGTGGGTTAAGGGCACAGAGCAAAATCCATTGTAAATTTGAGTTGAATTAATGGAAGTACAGAGTTTAGATTGAAGGAGATGATAGTAGGTCTCGCTATACATGGCCAGGCCACACCAATAACATGCATTCAGTTCCAGACTCATGTATTAAGAACAATAGTGACAAACTGAGAACACACAGAAGAGATCTGAGTGGGAATATAAAGAACAATTGAAGAAAGAAGAACTCTTCAACTTGCAGAAGAGAAAAGTGGGGGCCTTTCATGAGCTCACAGACTCTGGAAGACACTTTCTCAAGCAGTTGTGATGGTCCAGGCACTGTCACATATGTGGTCTGGTTTAATTCTCACAGCAAGGGTCAGCCAAGTGGCTCAGTTGGTTAAGAACTTGCTCAAGAGTGCGTGCTCTGAGCAACAGGGTCACCAGTTTGATTCACGGCCCGAGCTGAGCTGCTGCTGAGCTGCCAACAGGTGGCAGGATGGCTCAGCTAAAAATAATAATAACAACAACAATAATAATAATTCTCACAGCAGCCTTGAGGTGTGTGAATCATCCTCATTTTGCAGATGGAGAAACAGATTCAAAGAGGTTTACTAACGTGCTCAAGTTTCCACAGCAAACAAGTGGTAGAGCTGTGCATTTTCCCCAGTGTCTCCCAGATTTGGGGATTCTCAGAGTTATAGAATATTTTGTAAAAGTGAAAAAGGGAGGGCTGCCAACTCTTTACCTTGCCAACTGAGGACAATAAAAACAACAACAAAAAAAATCAACTATCAGCATCATTTTATAAAAGAATGGACAGTTTTGCATCAAAAAATCAGGGAAATGGTCATCAGAAAAAAAATGGGGTTCAAAATGAATAAACCAAGCCTTACGAAAATATTACTGGTTGTCCTTTTTCCTCAAATCACTGTTGTCTGGTGAAAAAAATTGTGTTTTGGAAACCACGAGACTAGAGGATTTGCATTCTCTTGTTTCTGGGGTTTTCCAACTCAGCTCCCACACCTCAAGTGATGAAAGCCTCACTACCTCCCAAAGCAGCTCCTACTATAAGAATGTTTTACTCTTATTCTAAGATATCTATGTCAATGAAGCTTAAGGCATTCTTTCAGAAAAATAGTCACCTACCAGTAGGGAATGGTCTTGACAGTGTCAACACTCAGCTCTCAGCTTGGCCCTGACATCCATGCCTGTGGCACAGTTCTCCAATTGTGTGCCTCTTTTTCAAGATTATTTTGGTTTTTCTGGGTCCCCTGCATTTCCACACATGTTTTAGGATCAGCTTGTCAATCTCTGTAAAGAAACCAATGGGAATGCTGATAGAATTGCATTTTTTACATTTTTATTAGGAAAAAAAAATTATCCCAAATCGCAGCACCCCAAATCAACTGCAGTTAATATTTTGGTGTGTTTCCTGTGAGTCTTCTTAGTATGTGAGTTCGTTTATTTTTATTTTGGAACCTTTATTCTTTCACATATAATAAGCATCTTCCCATTACTACATATGCTCCATAAGCATCATTTCCAGCTGTTGTGTATTTCATGCTTTATGTAATAACCCTTCTATATTTAGGCAATAATATCAATCACTAACATTTGATCAGTGCTACTTATGAGCTGGGTGTGAAGCTAATCCTCATAGAAACCCTGTGAAGTAGCATCTGTCATAAATCCCCATTTTACTTACAGAGGAGAAAACTAAGACAGGAAAAAGCTAATTTCTGAGGTTTTGATTTCAAGCACTTACGTATAACTTACTTTCTTCTAAAGGGAACCTGGAGTGCTTGGATCAGATATTTATCAAACGTATAAATAGAATGCAAGTGTTCATGATAGAAATATGAACTTGCTGACTTAAGGACAGTGTGGTTAGCCTTTCCTGTCTTGGACTCAGTTTCTTCATCTGTACAATGGGAGTCACAGCAGTGCCTGCCTCACAGTGCTGAGGAGAGGAGTGCATGAGATAATTATATCAAGTCTCCTATATACAGTTTCTGGCACATAGTAAGTGCTCACTAAACAGGAGTTACATGATTAGAGCAGGGGCACACATCAGATATCTTACACTCAGGCAGGCAAAATCAGCCAGATGTAGAATAATGGGGAGTGGGGGAGAAGGGACCAGGAGAGCCAATACCTGACCAAAGGAAGCAGCTGCTGTCTGGAGTCGCCAGGCAGGAACACCAGCTGAGTGGTACCAGCCAGGGCCAGCCAGGAAAACAGAGCCACACCAGGTATTTTAGCAGGGAGATTTAACATAGGGGGTGTGTTAAACAGGTATGGGAGGTCTGAAAGGCAAAAAGCGACCACTGAGATATCACAGAGCCTCACAGAGGGAAGCAGTTACCACCTAGGCCTGGGAGAACAATGGAAAGAAGGTTAGAACCAAGAAGCTTGGGAGGGTGTCCTGCAGAGCTAGGACCCAGACCTCTGAGGCAGAAGCATTGTCTGTTGGTGCTGTTGTCTCAGAGGAGGCCTGATGAGGCTGGTGCTGGGAGTGTAGGACTAGTAATGTCAGTCCTTCAATTTCTCAACAGAAGCACAAAACCCAGATTTTTTTTAATGTTGGCAACTAATTTTTTTTAAATTTCAAATTCTGCTGTGGGAAAAGAATAGTGGTTCCTCAAACACTTAAAAGTAGAATTACCATATGATCAAGCAAGTCTACCTCTGGATATAGACCCAAAAGAATTGAAAGCAGGGACTCAAAAGAATTGTTTGCACACCTCTGTTTGTAGCAGCAAGATTCATAATAGCTAAAAGGTGGAAGCAACCCAGGTGTCCATTGACAAATAAATGGTTAAACAAAATGTGGTCTATCTATACAATTGAATATTACTCTGCCTTAAAAAGGAAGAAAATTCTGCCACATGCTACCACATGGAAAAACCTTAAGGACACTATGCTAAGTGAAATGAGCCAGTCATAAAAGGACACATATTATATACTTATACTTACATGAGATCTCTAGAGTAGTCAGATTTATAGAAACAGAAAGTAGAATAGGGTTGGGGGGAGAGGGAAATGGGGAGTAAGTGTTTAACAGGTACAGAATTTTAGTTGGGGAAGATGAAAAAGTTCTGGAGATGAATGGTGGTGATGGTTGTACAACAGTGCGAAAGTACTTAATACCACTGAACTGGACACTTAAAAATGATTACAATGAGGGCCAGCTGAGTGGCTCAGTTGGTTAAGAGCTCACTCAAGAGTGCGAGCTCTGAACAACAGGGTTGCCAGTTCGATTCCAGGCCTGAGCTAAGCTGCTGCTGAACTGCCAACAGGTGGCATGTTGGCTCAGTTAAAAGAAAGAAAGAAAGAAAAAAAGATTACAATCGTGGGCAGCCAGTTAGCTCAGGTGGTTAAAGCGCAGGCTCATAACACCAAGATTGCCAGTTCAATTCCCACATGGACTGTGGAGCTGTGCCCTCCACAATTAAACTGAAGACAACTATTTGACTTGGAACTGTAGAGTCCTGGAAAAACACACTGTTCCTCAATAAAATTTCTTTAAAAAAAAATGATTACAGATCTGGCTTGGGATGCCAGAGGGCCCCCGGTTCAGATCCCACATATGAGGGCCAGTGACACTGCCCTCTATGTGAACAACAGTTCAACCTGGAGCTGGGCTGTCGTGAGTCACCAGCGACGGCGTAGGCTGCAACCCCTGTGGCAGTGGGTTGCCATGGGCTACCGTGTGTAGCCAGCAGCCAGTGTGAGCAGCCAGCAGCCACAGTGAGCGGCTGTCCAGAAGCCGGCGACTGATCTGCCTCATCCGGGAAGAGTGCAATGATGGTGCCAACTTGGACCAGTGAAGCAACGTCCTCCACAACTAGACTGAAGAACAAAAGGACAGCAACTTATCTGTTCCCCTTTCCTCAATTCCCCAGCACTGTTCCCATCCCCCAATTCCCCCAAAAAAAATCTTTAAAAAAAATGATTATGATAGTAAATTTTGTTATGTGTGTTTTACCAAAATTAAAAAACGTATTTCAAATTATTTGTGTTAAAACCAAACTGGATCTGGACTGCAGGCCATCAGCTTACAGCGTTTACATTGGGTGCTCTCCGTAGTGTTAAGCTGGCTATAGGAGCTGAAGGAGATACACACAGGATGGGAGAGAAAGCCAGATCAAGAACAAGGACACAATCTTTTCTGTTCCACTTTCCAATTTTTGCCAGCCTGACTGCATTGTGGAGACATGAGCTCAATCCCAGTTCTGCTGCTAGTAACCTTGGCCTTTCTGGGCCCCAGTTGTCAAAGAAGGGGTTCAGGAGGGTCAGGTTGTAGTAGAAAGCCCCATACTCTCCAGATCTCAGCAGAGGGTCTGTGTGCCCTAGTGTGCTGCCTCTGTGGGGCCCTGGCCCTTAGCACTGACCTTGGACACTCTCACTGCTCCTCTGCCCAACTAGAGCTCAAGGCTAGTGCCAGCCCGGGGTCTGGTTACACCTCAGACGTCAAGCGGATTACTGGAGCCCCAGTCAGTCCAACAAGTGGTCTAAAAATAAAGTGTTGAATCCTGAGCCCTGGAAGGCAAGTTTGCAAAATGGAGGGGGTAAGTGGAAAGGGCTTGGAGTGGGTGGGGGGTGGGGCCCTATCTCTGACTTCCCTGGATTCTGTGCACTGGATTTCTGCTGTGATCACAGTAGAGGGGGGATGGGGGGATGAGAGTATTTTGAGGCCATACAAGCCAGCTTGCACTGGGAGGAAAGGTTAGAAGCCCAAGAGGACTCTGGCAGTTGTTTGTCCCGTTCTCCTGACACAGCCCCAGGAATCCTCTGTCTACTCCAGAGGATCTGGGTCTGGGCCAGGACAGAGCCAGGGGATGCTGCTGACTGAACCTGGGAAGCTGGTGAAAGCACTTGACTTTGAGCTAGGCTTTGACAGGGGAGATGTAGGGAAGGGCTTTCCAGG